TGATGGTATATAAAACTTGACATTTGGAAACTAATTACATTACTGAAATAATTTAAATGATTTCCATATTCAGAATTGTCCAAAAAAATTGTTTATTATGTCACTGGAAAGGGACAGTTTTAACTAAAACCTACTCTTAAGCGTACTAATAAGAATATACAGTCACACTAATTCATTTATTTTACCAAGAGGCAGTTACAGTTCTTAAAAGTGAGGGCACCATTAGCACTGTAGACAACAATATTTCCTTGTACAGGACTGCAGGTTGATTAGGAAGGAATCCTGGAAGCCAGGCACTGCCAGTAGCATAGTCCAATGACAACCCTGACCAAGAAAAACATTTCCTTGACTTAATTTACAAACATCTTCTAGAATAATACCATCTCAAATTTAAAAGATTCCTATCAAAAAACAAATTACAGATGGAAGGTGGTGATGGTTGCACAACAATGTGAATGTACTTAATGCCACAGAACCGTACAATTAAAAATGGTTAGGATTGTAAATTGTTATATCTATTTAATCAACTTTTAAAATACCACACACAAAAATAATCATAGTTCTCTACTGACATAAAGAGAACATTATTTCCAATTAGTACCACAAGGAAAGTAAAGGCAAAAAAAAAAATCCTGTTTGGATCTATAAAGTCTCTTATTTAAGACTAAACAGGCTGGGTGCAGTGGCTCACACCTGTAATCCTAGCACTCTGGGAGGCCGAGGTGGGCAGATCGTTTGATTTCAGGAGTTCAAAACCAGCCTAGAGCGAGACCCCGTCTCTACTAAAAATACAAAGAAATTAATTGGCCAACTAAAAATATATAGACACACACAATAAGCCGGGCATGGTGGCACATGCTTGTAGTCCTAGCTACTCGGGAGGCTGAGGCAGGAGGATCACTTGAGCCCAGGAGTTTGAGGTTGCTGTGAGCTAAGCTGACACGATGACACTCTAGCCCCGGGGCAACAGAGTGACACTCTGTCTCAAAAAAAAAAAAAGACTAAACAGAGTTGTTTCTCTTCTCATCTTAATGTCAATTATCCAAGGTCAAGACACCAAGATACCCTGGAAAACTAAAAATATATAGATCATCTATATCACTATAACTTTATACTTATTCCTTTATTCAAAATGTTGTAACAGAGCATATTATTTGCTAATGCTTTCATTTTTTAATTCTATTCACTTTGTTGAAGGAATACAGTAAGTATACACAAACTGTAAATACAGAATATGAAGAGCCTATTAATTAAGTCAAGTAATTAATGCAGCTTTGCTGTTTTATTTTCTCCTGGAAATTGGCATGGCACCAGCCTCTTGTTCTATTTCTGAATTCCTCTATACTAGACATTTCTATGAGAGATTAATATTTAATAGCTATTAGTACAATCCCAGACCAAAAACTAAATTTTCCCCAACTTAGAAAATGGGTCTACATTTTCTCTGGCAAATTTCTTACTTTAGGCCATCAATAGGCACAAATCCCTGAATCAAAACATTGTCAACTTTTCTACACATTTGCCCATCTCTTCCCCAAGTACTAACAAAAGTGAACCCATGCAGGCACAAACCACAGAACATTCACAACTTAAAAGGGAAAATTTACTCCCACTGCTCCACTTGACCAGTCTTAAAAAAAAAAAAAAGGGAAAATTTAATTTTAGATCCAAATTCTTGATTTCTTAAGGTATTTCCAAGTCAGTTATTCTATATTCTTATAGTCTTTAAATGTGCACCTTTCCTTCAACATAAGCTGCTTAAATAGGGGTATAACTCAATTTAATATTTTATGACACAGGAAGAGTTCTTAAAAATAAAAAAGAAAAAAAAAATATTTTGTAATTTAGATACTCAGATCACTAATGAACATGCATGTATTCACTGATATCAGTATCAGCTCCATGTTCTTTGCCTATTCTACTTACTACTAATCTACAACTACTATTTTCAGATTTTCCCATCAAAACACTTAGGAATACATCACATAGTCATGCGAATAATATTCAGACTAGTGAATCCTAATTTCCCTATAACTCACTGGTATTTTTTAGGTCTCTGACTCCACATCTGTAAATGAGAGTTCAATAGATATCCTTTCCCAGTGATTAGCTTCCTGGTCTACATAAGTTCTAGAAAATGCAACGGTAAAAAATATTGTTTCTGAGAGTTTCTAGAAGTAAAGACATCCTTAGGTTCCACAACTCTTACTTAACTTGGTTTCTCACATTGCTAATCCTGTTTTTGCCACCGCTCTTAGGTCACTGGAGATTATGTCTAGGGCCTAGTTTTCTCCCTCTGCAAGGGGAAAAAATACCCTCTTCGGTTATCGCCATACGAAGTTGTGCCTCCTTTTAGCATTTCAAAGAGAAATGTCAAAGTGGCCTACAATTACCCAATTCAATTCTATCTACAGTAGACACTGGACAAATTTAGCTGTCTAAGAAACTAACATTTGAATAAAACATTGTTTAATATATAGCTATTAGTGTTTAGGATATGCATTTAAGATTACAGAGATTCTTTAAAACTTGTTTCCTTATTGAAACTTCTGATGAAATATGCCTACCAATTTAACATGGAGGGATCATTTACCATGATAATTAGATGATTCAAATTTGTGATTATGCTGCAACCTTTTTCAAAGGTATGTTCTACAAAACTGAATATTAGCTTTGTACTTATCACAATTTTATTCTTTTCTTTCTTTTTCCCCATGGCTTCTGGGACAAACCAAACTTGGTTTATGCCACAAGAGCACATTTACCAAAGCACCTGACTGTATTAGTAAACTCCACTTTCAAAACCACCATGTTAAGGTGACTTCTCGGGCCCCTCTCTCCGGACCCATGAACCTCGCCAAAAAAAAAAACAAAAAAAACCTCACTATGTTAAGATAAAACTCATCACTACACAAAGCCTTGGAATTACATATTTTGGGTGACTTTTATTTAAATCTTTCTGAACTTTAGATTTCAAACTTTCAAAATTACTTGAATGAACAAGTTCATTAATCTGAAACAAATACTTGGAAAAACTTAGGATACTTTCTTATAAACCCCCCAATCACATTATGTTCTTCTTTCAACCTGTTATAATCAAACAAAGAATTTTTTAAAATAGTATATAACTGTTTCTGTTTGCAGGAAAGAATATGTTCTATTCAAGTGAAACATCTTTTTAAAACTGTGTGTTTATTATAATCAAAAAGCATTGACTGAGTTCCCCAAAAGAAATTCTACTTGCTTTTGCAGAAATTGGTAATTAATCAAAGTCCATAACCTTAAGAAAGCTGGCAAGACTACTGATTTTCAATCTTCATTATTCTTTTCATTATTAATTCCATAGCAAATAAGATATTTCCAACTGAATTATTTAGAAATTCACAAAAAGCTGCTCTCTTTAAATTTTTAAGTTTCCAAAAGTATCAAATTAAAATTATATCATATGTAAAAGTTAAGTCAGACACAAAAAGTAAGAAAGCAAATTTAAAAACCTTGGGATAAACTTGCCTCCACAGGCAATCATATATATTTTTACTAATAATGCAAGGCTAAAAGTGGAAAATAAGAAATCAAATCTTAGGGACAGATGGACCATGCAGAAAAATAATAAGCTAAGTTACTAGCCCCAAAAGCAGTGATACATGAGGCAGAAGACCAAACAGAAGAGACCAGTTAGAATTACCCAAATGTAAAAAAATGAAGCATGTGATAAAATATTAAGGCTAAAAATAAAAATTTACACCCATACATTTATGAGAAATTGGCGGGAGGTATCAAATCTAGAATCATATCAGATCTCTACAATACAAAACCTCATTTTAAGAATATACTGATTCATCTCTTATTACTGAAGTTTAACTATTCTCAGATAATATATTCCCTAATAGGGTGAATAGCAAAATAGAAGTTTGACTTTTTACCTCCTCTAAACACTATTACAAAGAATAATTTTCTACCATTTTGAAATTTTTCAAAGCTTTTTGAGAAACACACACAAATAATTTGGATTTAGTCGATTTTATTTACAGCTTTTTGTTTTTTTGTTTACATTTCAGAACATTACACAATTACATTTTCTCATTTTCTGACCTGCAAACAGATACCTTAAACGGAAATTATTTTTTTTAAATTATCAAATTAGGTACATCCAAAATGCAACAATTACACACATGACAATTAATTCACAAAGTGTAATTTACTGGGACGTATCCTAAGAATTTAGGAACAGCAGGTCAGGAGAAATCTGACCATATTTAGCAATCAACTATTTACATATCCAAAAATCAAACCTATCTAAACTCCCAAACCAGAAGCTTGAAAGTTTTTGTTAAATCGCCATTGGACAAAAGAGAGTGGTGATTCAAACCTATCCAATCTTGATAGTTTTAGTACCAAATACTGGGCCATTCCCCAGTATGTAACTGAATAGCAAGCACCTGTCAAACACCTAAGCATCAAACTTTTACACCATTATGCGCATAGATAGGCTAAGTGTTCATTATTAAAAAAACAAGTAGTCATTAAATACCCACACTATTCTCCCAACTCACCAGCTCTTACTGCAATCCCAAATATGCAACCTGTGTCACATAGTGACAGGCTATAGTTCATGTGTGTGTGTGTGTGTGCATATATATATATATATATATATATGTGCATATATATATGCACACACACACATATACACACAATATTAGGTACAAATGGCAATTAACAGTCTCTACAAAAATTCAGTTTTAGTTGAGGCTATGGCTCCTATGCCTTGGGATGGTTTTGGACTTCAAAACTGAAAAATACTGCTAAAATCTCAGTTCCTTAAGATAAAATTTGATTGCACGTTCAATTTGGGTTTCTCAGTCTAAAAATGGCTATAAGGTAAGTATTAAAAAGCCAGACAACTGAGTGTAACTTGTCTTTCCAATCTGGCCAAGCTACTTGTAAAAATTATTCCTAACTAGACTAGAAAATCTGTGGCGACTTCCAGTGGTCTTGCCTACCTTACTGTCCATGTTCACGTTTCAAACTGTGTCAACAAAGCCCGCACTTCAGGGGTCAGCTGCTTGGCAGCCTTAGCTGCCTCTGTGATAGCCTTGCGATACAGGCCCTTTCTCTTCTTATTAAAGCGTGACTGGAAGTTTTCTAAAAAGGGAGAGAGTTGCGAAAGAGCAAGGAAAGATGTTGTTGGAGACCCAAACCATGAGATACAGGCCTCCTGTCGGACTAAAAGGCCATTATCTTTCCGGCTCACAGTTATAGTAAGAATACGGGCTGGCCACCAAGGGAAGCCATATATCTTGGCCCAAACAATGTCCCCTACGCATATGGTCCTGCCATCTGGTGTGACGCATTTAGAGACGTTTTTGGAAAAGACTTTCATTTTCAAGGAATTACTGAGCTTTTTCTCTTCCTTTGAAGAGGAGGAAGTGGAGGAGGTGGAAGGTGCATGCATACTGCCTGGAGGATAATCAAAGCTTTCAGAAGAACTACACTCAGAGTTGGAAGATTTCAAATCATCTGTGCTATCAATGCTACACACTGAAGCACTGGAAGAGTCAGATTTCTTTTGATTTAGGGTCATGTAAACAGAGATATTGCTTTTGCTGCCCTTTTTGCCCAATGTCTGTGGTTCATCCTGCTCACCAGGCACATGCACTTCATTTGTGTCCTGAACCTCACTGCTGGCCTCTTCAGGGCCTTTTGAGGGACTCTGATTTTCTGAAGGGGCCTCACCTGCTGAGCGGGTAGAGGTGCAACGAGACTGGGGCTTGGGTGCCATCTTGCCACTCCGCATTTTCTCAAGTCCTGTCTTCAGAGAAGAGTCATTTTCTTCATTTCTGTACCTCTGTGGTTTTAAACGAACCCGGGGTGGAAGGGAACCTGAGCTAGGATTCTGATATCGACGTGTGAAATGGACTTTTGAATGTGCATTTTTGGAAGTAGAGGTTTCACTTTGCTTTTTTTGTGCCTTTTCTTTGGCAATTTTTAACACTTCCCGAGCTTTTGCATGATCCATGTTCTTACTCTGGAGTACTTTTTTAGTACTTAACTGAGCTTTTGACGTATTTGCCTGAGCAGAAACTTTTACGACTCTGCCTCTGCTATGAGCAATATTTGAAACCTTAACCACAGCATTTCTTTTCTGGCTTTCGTTTTGGTTTTTCCCATCCACTTTATGGTCAGTTTTCAGTTTTTTGTTCACAGTAGTTACACTTTCATTTCTCCGTTTTTTATCTTCATATTTAGAAGAGTCACTCGCACTACTACCTTTTCTAATTTCCTTTTTTTCAGCAACAACACTGTTTTTACATTTATCACATAGGACTTGCCTGGGTCGTAGTTTAATAGCATTCATTATTGAAGTGGGTTCTTCCCTGTACATTTTTCGTTTGGGTCGCTTAATTTTCCGAGGAGGAGGCTGAGGTATTGATTGGTTATATGTGTCCCTGATAAACAAAGGGGGAGGATAAGGTGCTCCTTCATGGAAGAGAGGTGGTGGTTTGGAAGTCCACAGGCTTTCAGCCAAGCTCAGCTCAGGAGGCGGGACAGGAGAAGGGTCATCAGGAACAGCACCATTTACTTCACACTTGACTTCTCTCCCTTCTTGGAATGTATTACTTTGGAGCTGCATGGCTTCCGGTTTATCCTTATATTCCCTTTTGGGAAATACTGTCACAGGGATACCATGGGGCCCAAACCTTTAAAAGAAATGAAAGAAAAACAAGGAGACATTAAGTTAACATCTATAATACAACTTCTTAAATGTAAAGAATACCTAATGTTTACTTTGAGTCCTACATTTTTGGTAAAAACAAATGGTTGCCCTAAGCAATGCCAGAATAGCTGACTTTACCTGAAAATAAGTCTTTCCAGTTTTGAATCAGAAAAAATGTTCTCTCAGATAGCTTAATAATAAACATCATGTGACAGTATACAATATTTTCAGCAAATGCAATTATAAATTTATGACATAAATATATATTTCCCTTTGATTATAACAGCTTTCAAAAACTTCATAGTAGGCCGGGCGCGGTGGCTCACGCCTGTAATCCTAGCTCTCCGGGAGGCCGAGGCGGGCGGATTGCTCAAGGTCAGGAGTTCAAAACCAGCCTGAGCAAGAGCAAGACTCCGTCTCTACTATAAATAGAAAGAAATTAATTGGCCAACTGATATATATATAAAATTAGCCGGGCATAGTGGCACATGCCTGTAGTCCCAGCTACTCGGGAGGCTGAGGCAGTAGGATCTTTTGAGCCCAGGAGTTTGAGGGTGCTGTGAGCTAGGCTGACGCCACGGCACTCACTCTAGCCTGGACAACAAAGCAAGACTCTGTCTCAAAAAAAAAACAAACTTCATAGTAAATTCAGTCTTAACTACCCAAAAATACTGAATCAGTAAAATCTCATCTCAACTTTATCAGTTAATTGCTAAAGATTCAAAGAAAACTTGTTCCTTTATTCTTGTATCCTCTTAAGCCTCCTATTCTGTCCCCCAAAACCACAAAAATACCAGGAACTCAGATAATCAAATTATCTCCAAAGTAAACAGGTATAGAACTGTGGCTTTCAAATTCTTAAAATTATATCTCACATAAGAAATATTTTCCCATTATACCCCAATAAAAACATTTATGTATGTATACATGCATGCATAACTACACACATTTAAGCAAAAGTTTCACCAAATACTTAACATTTGATTATGTGATACATAATGATTTTCCTCCTCTGGTCTACGTCATTTGTTTGTTTGTTTTGTTTTGTTTTGTTTGAGACGGCATCTTACTCTGTTGCCTGGGCTTGGAGTGCAATGGCGTCATCATAGCTCACTACGGCCTCGAACTCCGTAGTCTGAGTGATCCCTCTGCCTCAGCCCACCACAGTGCTCAGTACCCAAGGATTGGCTTCAAGAAGTCAGTCAGGTAAACCCCAGAAACTAGATGCAAATGTTTTGTATACGTCTGTTTTTACAGAAAACAAGTCTTTGGTTCTCAGATTCTCTAAAATGTTATATTCTGCAAAGGTTCAGAGTACCTTTGCTGCGAAGAAATCTTGAGATTATGTACTAACAGCTGCAGACACACCTAAACTTCAGCAAGGATTTAGAAAGAACAAATAGGTATTTGGTTTCTAACACCTAAATACTTTTCTTCCTATAGTCTTTGTTAGCTTGGGTACCACAAACCAACAACTTAGAGCAAACACTTACAAACCATAAAGGAAGAGGAAAGCATTTTTTACCTAAGGTAGGAGAAGTTTGGCTGTGGGCTAGACCAAAGAGGAAGGGTACCCTCCTCATTATATCAGAATTCACAGAAAGTTGCTTTCTTGTTTGCTTCCTGACTACTTAATTGGAAGGCACTTTGAGCATTTAACCCTTTCTTATATAGTATACAGGTGTTCAATATCTACTTTTTCAAGATGACAGGACAAAAGAGGTAATTTTTGTCTTTTAACATAGAGCTATGTGAAACAACATGCCTTATCTGAGGTGAGACCACTATTTACATTAATAAAACTTTCTAACTCATAAGATGCCATCGTTATGCCCCATTAAATTTTCACAATATTTCCATAGCTGAATAAATAACAATTCCCTTCTTTTTATTAGGAATAACTAAACCATAATTATCTTAATGTTTGACATGAAGTTTCACAGCTGTCTCTTATCAACTGTTTGTATCCTATAACTTCAGTTTTTACATGTGTAAACGAGCAACACTATTTCCTACCTTAAAAATTCAGGTAAAGATAAATAGGCCAATGTTAGTCACTGTTGTTGGCTAAAATTTACTGTATTTAATTTATTTCATGTAAGTAATTTTGACCTTATTTTCAAACTAATACTTTACTAGAGTTTAGGGTTCTTTCCATAGCTTTAATTTATGCTCTGAATGAGACAATAATCCAGCCAATTTTCTGACAGCTGTTTATATCGAGTAAGTTGTGGAATCTGCTATGTTTATGGAGTTCAAAAAGAACATTAATATTTCACAACTGGATTTTTTTCTTTAATTTTTTTTTTTTTTTTTTTTTTTTTGAGAAAGAATCTCACTCTGTTGCCCAGGCTAGAGTGAGTGCCGTGGCATCAGCCTAGCTCACAGCAACCTCAAACTCCTGGGCTCAAGCCATCCTCCTGCCTCAGCCTCCTGAGTAGCTAGGACTACAGGCATGCGCCACCATGCCTGGCTAATTTTTTTCTATATATTTTTAGTTGGCCAATTAATTTATTTCTATTTTTAGTAGAGACGGGTCTCGCTTTTGCTCAGGCTGGTCTCAAACTTCTGACCTTGAGTAATCCACCTGCCTCGGCCCCCCAGAGTGCTAGGATTACAGTCGTGAGCCACTGCGCCCAGCCTAATTTATATATATATATATTTTTTTTTTAGTTATCCAGTTAATTTCTATTTTTTTTATTAGAGACAGGGTTTCACTCTTGCTCAGGCTGGTCTCGAACTCCTGAGCTCAAATGATCCACCAGCCTCGGCCTCCCAGAGTGCTAGGATTACAGGCATGATGAGCCACTGTACCTGGCCTTATATATATATAATACACACACACACACACATACATACATACATATATATAATATTTTTTTGAGACAAGTCTTGTTCTGTTGCCTCTGCTAAGTGTAGTGACATCATCATAACACACAGGAACAATTCCTGGGCTCAGAGATCCTTGACCTCTTGAGTAGCTACAAGTATATGCCACATACCACCAGACTGGCTGATTTTTTAAAAATTTTTTTTAGATCAATGTCTCACTATTTCCCAGGCTGGTCTCAAACTCCTGGCGCAAGTGAACCTCCTGCTTTGGCTTCCCTCACTCTAGATTTAGCATGAGCCTCCACATCTGGCCTGGATTGTTTTTTTTCTTTTCCTTCCATTGTTTTAAATAGAGACAGGGTCTTGCTATGTTCCCTAGGTTGTTCTTGAACTCCTGGGCTCAAGCAATCATCTTGCCTCAGCCTCTTGAGTAGCTAGAACTATGGGTGACACACATGCCATGCACTCAGCTTGTTTTCTTAATTTTGCCTTTCTCCTATAAGCTTACAAAACACTCGGGCATTATATGTTTTGATATGATAGGAAGTACCTAACTGTGTAATGATGAGGAATGTAGGCTACCAAAAGAGGGGAGAGTAAACCAAACTGATAACTGTGGGTAGTGAATAACTGATGAAGCAAAATATTTCTAAATAAAACAAAACTCTCCAAAGACTAGAAGGATAAATCACTTTAAGAGGAAAAGAGGGACTGAATAATAACATGCCTTTAGTCCTAGCTATTCGGGAGGCCCAGGAGGATGACTTGAGCCCAGGAGTTGAATCGTACAGAGCTATGATCACACCACTCCCTCCAGCTTGGGTGACAAGGCGAATCCTGTCTAAATAAATAAATAAATAAATTTTAGCCGGGGCGGTGGCTCACGCCTGTAATCCTAGCACTCTGGGAGGCGGCGGGCGATTGTCTAGGTCGAGTTCGAAACTAGCCTGAGCGACGAGCGAGACCCGTCTCCTACTATATAATAGAAAGAAATAATTGCCAACTTATATATAAAGAATTAGCCGGGGCATTGGTCGCATGCCTGTAGTCCCAGCTACTTGGGAGGCAGGCAGGAGTAGCTTGACCCCAGAGTTTAGGTTCTGTGAGCGAGGTTGGCGCCACGGCATTCACTCTAGCCTGGCAACAAGCGAGACTCTGTCTCAATAAATAAATATAACTAAAAGGGATCAATGTTTTGCTCATCTCTGAATCATCGTTCTTACTGAGGAGCTTAAATCGT